CCATATAAATACAATAAATTTTAAAAAGATATTATATAGAGAAATATATATTTAAATATACTATATATAGTATATTATAAAATATATTTATATAGAAATACATATTTATATACAATTGTAATATATATATATATATATATATATATATATGCATACATATATATATATGTGTGTGTGTGTGTAAGAAAATTGAGGGTCTGAATTACTATGTCACACAGCTAGAAATCAAGTAAGCTCCAACTTGAACTCAGGCAGTCTGGTTCCCAAGGATGTTGGCCTTGTAGAAACTCTGCTCATCCATTTTTCCTGAGCACACACATGGTCTAGGCTCAACATTCCTAATGCAAGTAATCATCAGGTCAATCAAACCTCAGCTGGAGATCAGTTGCCACTCCCAGAGGAGGGCTCTATGTACGTAGCCGGACCTTGCCCCTGTGACTTTATAGCCCCCTTTATCACTCAGCACCATAAAACCACAGGTGTGTTGGCCAGCTCTATAAAAACAGGTGTTTTGTATGCTGCAGTCACCTAACCCAGGGGGTCGGAATATGATTACTATTTTCTTCTTGACTGCACAGAATCTCCCACGAGGAGCTGACAGGAAAAGAGGACGGAGGAAGGCAGGGGACACAAGAAGTAGAGCCTCACTTCCCTGGCCTTTCCTGCCCTTGTGCACAGCCTAGGTGAGGGCCCGCCAGGGTCACCTGTCCGAGCTGTGTTCCTCACTTTCTCCGACCGTCTCTCAGAAGGATGCACGGCCTACCCCTGGCACTGTTCCCCTTTCTACCTGCTTTGCAATGATGAGACCTGCCTGCCTAAATCTTACTTATTAACTTTGCATAGATATGGGAGGCTGAGATTACGGGAGAATTGTTTGGGAGTGCAGTATCTCGCTTCTTCCCACGTACCTTACCCTGGGAATTGCTTTGTACCTGCACACTGCCGTGTGCTGGTGTGTGTTTAATAACCATCAATAAAGATAGGCCTGGGAAAACACGGACAGACACAGATTCCTCAAGAGAGGAGTATCCAGAAGGGTGCTAGCTGCCCATAGGTGATCACTAGGAGTTGTCAAAAGTAAACCCACCCCTCTGACTAAGCAGTTAAAAGTTTGGAAAATACGCTCAGCCTGAGGACCCCTCGACTGCCATACAACTGGTCTCCTTAAGTCAAAGCTGATTCCTGAGTTCATGATCCAGACATCAGGGTGTCCACTCTGCAGGAGGTATTTGCCAACTAGCTCGTTTATTAGAGATCAAGAAAACCGAAGAATGTGAGATGCAGCTTGGCATATGTCGCTTACCCATACAGTGCTTGCCTGGGGAGTACCCTGGTTCCAATCCTTGGCACCACACACACAAAATGCTCAAGTAAATAAATAATCAAATGAATGTCCAATAAGGAAATAGAGGAAGGGGGGACATTTTTGAACTATAAACCAAGAATGTCACCATTCCACACAGATGAATAACATTTGTATAGTGGGTAGATATGGAAGCAACTGTTGAATAGGTACATAACTCTGACTCCCACATACTAGGTGCTCAAAAAATATTTGTTGTGCAGAATTAAGCAACTAACTAAACATGGAAAAAATAAATCTAACCTTCACTATATTGTCCAACCACTGTCAACAATGTTCATTAGACACAAAGCAAACCTATTAGGACCCTTCCACCAAGGTGATAGACCAGTCCAGACACCAAGTCTCTGTCTGCCAACAACAGCAGGCCTTTGAGAGTAAGAGAGGAAGGTACAAATCATCCAGGACAGTACTTGAACTTGAGTACTTGGTTCCTAAGTGACTGTGGCAGCCTGTTGAGATTAAGGCCCAGCTGGATATTTGTGTGAGCCACACGGTGCCTGGCAACCTCCTCCAGGAGCTAGCAACGTACTTGATCAAGAGGCCTCCTGTGAGGTCAGGCCAGCCAGGCATGCAGCAGCATGTTTCCAGAGATCTCATTTTCCATGGGCCTTCTAGGATAGCAGCCAAGATTGGCCCTGTTGCAGTTCAGTCCCACAAAAGGAAGAACTCTTCACACCACGTCCACAGACTGAGTAACCCCAAGGGGATCCAAAATTGTCTCCACCACACCCACAGAAGTTGAGGGATAAGAGAGATTAAACTGGTCCCACATCTCCCTTTGTTCTGAACCACCCCATGTCCTCTCTGGAACCTCGTCCCCCCAGTGCCAACCCCAGAGCAGGCTGTAGTCTCTCTGTTCCATTCCCTGACACCATGAAAACTCTCTTCCATTCTATGAGATTTGATCTATGACTATAGCACTACAGACCACACAGAACAGATGATTAACCACTGGAAAAGGGCACAAGTCCCAGGATTCTTTCAAGGAATCTCAATGGGAAAGCCGGTGCCACTTTCTGAGGTCTCCCAGGGGAGACTGGAGCAGACACTTGTGACATCTTCCTAGATTCTCTTCCTGAACTGTTCTCTAAATTCAACATCCCAAAGGAAAATATTTAGTTCACACACAAGCATCATCTCTCAGCAACTTGGGAAATCATTTTTTGTCTTACCCATCCATCTGATAAATGTGACATTGGCTCAAAGTTCAAGCAAGGTCTCTCTCTGTGTTCTATCCCCTAAAGTCATGTTTTCTGCTCCTGAGAGAAAAACATAGCATCTGAAGATTCAGATTCAGGGGACAGAACTATTCTCTCTCCCAATCTTCCAGCAGTGGTTCTCAACCTTATAACGCTGTGACCCTTTAATACAGTTCCTTGAGTTGAGGTAACTCTTAACCATAAAATTATTTCATTGCTACTTCATAACTGTAATTTTGCTAGTTATGAATCATAATGTAAATATGCAGAATACATGATATACAATCCCATGAAAGGGTTGGCTGACCCCCTAGAGGGGTCTGGATCCGCAGGGTGGGAGCCATTGTTTTAGTGCATAAAGATTAACCATAAGAGAGAAGACCATGTGGCTTGGCTTGGCTTAGATGACTGGGAGGGACCAGGCTGCCTGTTCTTGCAGCCCCCTACAAAAGCGTTCCTGTCCCCTGGAACTGAGAAGTTAAGATTCCTTCCCTCACAGAGAAGACAGGATGATAAGCTAGCCTGGGCAAAACACAGTAGAGAAAGTTCAGAGGAAGACCCGTTAAAAGAGCCATGATTGCCGGGAGGTGGTGGCACACGTCTTTAATCCCAGCACTTGGGAGGCAGAGGCAGGCGGATTTCTGAGTTTGAGGCCAGCCTGGTCTACAGAGTGAGTTCCAGGACAGCCTGGGCTACACAGAGAAACCCTGTCTCAAAAAACCAAAAACCAAAAACAAAACAAACAAAAAATGAGCCATGATTACCCAAGGTGCTGAGCAGCATGGCCTCTCCCTTCTCAGCTGGGATACAGGGTAATGCAGACAGTGATTTGAAATGTCCTTCTCCTATGGAGATGGTAGGATGGAGAGCCTGAGGCTGGTCGAGGTTTTGCTACTCCTTCTCCAGAGAGGCAAGCACACTTGTACAAGCCAATTCCTCCTGGCCTGTTTCCTCACTCACTACATGGATGAAGAGTCTCTGTTGTGCCCTGAGCCTATGACTTCCTATAATCCGAGACAAACCGGAGTGTGGAGATTGAAAATATATTGTATATATTCACCCACTTCATACACACACACACACACACACACACACACACACACACCCTGCTGAGGTACTGGGAGTGGAACGTAAGGTCTCATATCACTAGACAAGATCTCCTAAGACTAAGCTGTATCCCCAGCCCTCTACTTTTGGAGACAAGATCTCTCTAAGCTACCAAGGCTGGTCTTGAACTCTTTAACTCAGGTAGGTCTTGACTTTGTAATCTTCCAGCCTCAGAGGGATTTATAGACCACCAGGCCCAGCTTATATCATTTTCAGTCCTGAATTATACTCAACTGATTTTTCTGGGAAGTTATATTTATTTTGGTTTTGATTTTTAGAGAGACTTGAGTCTGATGTCACCATTTGAGTGGCTTATTTGCATGCCAAAGAATTGCAGATCCTGGGTTTTGAAGGCCCCAGCTTCACCCCCACATTCCTAACCTTCCCAAGGCCCTTGAGCCTGTCTTCACATGCCTCAGTCATTAACCTAGCTGGAACCTTTCATGCCCTTAGTCCTGAGGTAGCAGCCCATGGTGCCTGGGAATGCCTTCCTCAGCCCTGAGCCTGCAGGCTTACCTCACTTAAGTCTGACTCTGAGGTTAGGCTATTGGCTGTGAGCACAGTTAGGGCCTCCCCCTTCCCCTGTGGCTCAGCCAAGTAGGAGAACTGAGCAGACCACGGGCACCCCACCCCCACCCTGCTAAGAAGGGCCTTCTTGGCAGCCACCCTCCTTCAGAGCCCATTAGGGAAGTGCACATTCCCTTGGTCTCTTGGCCTCCAGTGAGTGTTAGGGGGCGGGGGAGCATTACAGGCTATTAGCCAATGTTGAAAGCCTCTGTTTTCCACCCCCTCCCGACTTCTCCTAGCACCGTCTGGGCTTGGCTAGGAATCAAGCAGGCGTTTTGTTCAGAAGTGGCGACTTATTTTTATCAAAGATGGAATGCAGTCTTGCAGTTGTTTCCAGTGCCTCTTCATGGCAACCAAACTCTTGTTCCAAGCATTCCCGATCCTGCCTTTCCCAGGAGACATGGCTCTCCTTTCTCCTTCTAAATGCTGGCCAGGGAACAGCTTAAGAAGATGAAGTTGCAGAAATTAAGACTCATTATTAATGTCCCTACTTTAAAATGCAGGCCCTGGCTGGTGACTCTGTAAATCCTGCCCTAAAACAATCTGAGGACCACAGTACTACTGCAGTGGGTAAGCCTGGGCACTGGCTATGCCCCTGCCCTGCTAAGCCTTACGTTGCTGTATATCCTCCAGCTAGCTCCTCCCTTCTCTAGCTTATGGTGCCCACTAGGAAGTACAGAATGCCAAACCTTTCTGACCACAAAATCTTTGGATCTGATAGAAGCTGTGGACCATCCTTGGGTAAGAAAGTGACACACTTGTTCATTTGGGACATATTTATTAGACATAAAGACATATAGAGGAACAAATTCGAATGCATTTTGGGGGACCGTTCTGGTTATGAGAAGTTCTCTCTGGGGATTCTGTGATGAGCTCAGACTCTTAAAGAAGACATCATGATGGTGACTTCAGTAAACCATACAGAGGCCATCCAAATGCCTGCCTGAGACCAGGCCAGAAAGGCGGCCACAGGGAAAGTGATCTCCAGCTTCCTTCTTGCCCCCCCAATCCCCGTGTCGCCAGGAGGCACCCACAGACAAACATGCAAGCACAGGATACTGGAATGTCAAATGTGTTTCTGGACACTCCCAGCTGCAAGGAGCCGGCTGCCACCCTGGAGGAAAGGCAAACATGTCTCTTCTCTCCTAGGCTTTATTTTTCTCACGGTGTCTGAAAGGGCCGTGATCAGGTGATATGTGTGGGACTGCTCCCAGTACAGGTGCGGGGCAGGTAGGAGGGGAGGAGAGACCCGCCCCATGTGTACTTACTCAAAGCTCTTTCAATAGTCCTGCCAGGATAGCTCTTGGCAAGGCAGCAACCTAGTCTCCGGCAGGCTGCAGGGAATCCGAGTGTGAGAAAGTCAGTCATGCGAAGGAGAAAGAAAAAAGCTTTGAGTCCTCAGGCAAAATACCACCACCCCCCCTTCCCTAGGTCTAAACCAAACCCACAAAACAGTCCCAAAAACCTAGGGGGAAGGGGGAGTCTCTCCCAGGCTACGGACATTTGTCTTATGGTTTAAAAGCAAACAGGTCAAAGAGTAGTACAGAGAAATCAAGCCCCTCATGGGTGGTGGGTTACACTGGGAGCAGGCAATGGAGAAGCCCCTGTTATGACTGATTACTGGGTATGACGCAGTGTGTAAGACTGCTTTATTGACATCATACTGGAAGCAAAAAGACCTCCATTCAAAACACGTCCACTGATGCGCTGGACTCAGTTTTTCCCCTGCTTTGGGAGTAGGGGAAGATATGACTGAAAAACGTTCCAGGGAACTTTTCAAGTCTAAAAGCTTTTCTAGATATTGAATTTACTGCCCCCGTCGGAGGGCAGATAGTAATTTGACAAACCTTTACTGTTCAGAGTAAGAGACTAAAACCTCATCTGTGGGTCCCTTTGCAAAGCAACCTTGTTCTTGAATATTGAGGAGAGTAGAGACCCAGGACCACCATGATTTTTGAACCCTATTGCGAGGGGGGCAGTGCAGAGGCACAAATTTATGCATAATGTTTGGTCACATGAGCCTGCTGTCCCTCTCTCTAGAAGTGTGTATGTGAAGTCACTTGCTCGTTCTAGCAGGGTAAATGGTCTAAAGTAACAGTTAAGGAGTTGTGATTAACTCTTTGACCCATGGGGCTGCTGGAGGCTCCACTGGGAGACCCCAAGTGATTTATTTATTCATCCATCCTCCACACACCTGGCAGGAACCAACCCAAGAGGCAGTAGAAACAGACTAGAGAAACAGTAGAAGGAACAAGGCATGCCAGGTTAGGGCATGAGGGCTTCAGAGCAGACAGCAGCCACAGTCATGACAGACCTTATGAGAGACTCCGAAGGGTTTCAGAGGGAACCTAGAGAGGGGTAAAGTGTCCCCTGGGGGATTCTGGGAGTGAATTTGTGCAGTGTTCTGTTGTTGAGCATTTTTGTTGTTGTTGTTGCTGTTGTTGTCAAGTAAGAGCTTTTAAAGAAGCCTGGTTGTTGAGGTTACAGAAAAGAGGGTAACCCCACAGGTTCACCTTACACTAGAGGATTTCAAACATACAAGAAAGCCCCTGTTTAAAAGGCAACCAACTATTTTCAGTAGTCACTACTTTCCCATCTGCTTAAGACATGAAAGGAGTGCCCAACCCCATTGGTCCAGGTTGTAGGGCAACAAAGAAGGCATTGTTTATCCATTTCTTCAAACAAGGTAGGGCACAGCCCACTCTGAAAATCCCCCCCCTCTCTCTCGCCCCCCCATGGGAGGGGCACCCCAAGGGTGAAGCCAACATTGAGGTAAAGGTTTATCTGCAGGCTGTGGGGAGGGCTGGCCTGGCAGGCAGAAGAGAGGCTTAGAAGACAAAATGGTTAGAACCCCTTGAAATAACAGACAACAGCTCACCCAGGGCAAACAAGTTTCTAACTCAAGTCAGTGGAGTGTGTGGTTAGAGGCCCGGTGACCTGAACCAAGCAGGTAGCATGTCAGCCTACATGTGTTACTTAGGAGCCAACTCTACCAGTGTGATCCCCTTCGACAGTCTGTCTCCAAGCCCTGCCGTCCACTCTGGACACTTTGCTCAGAGCCATCTAAGGAGAACCCTGGTGTCCTCTCTCCAATATAAACCTTCTTTGTGGTTCTTCATTGTCTAAAGAGAAGGTTCAGAGTCTTTCATAAAGCAGGATGTCCAAGGGTCTTGTGTGGTGGTCTAATGTTTCTTACTTGCCCAAGCACACACTCTGAATGTTCTATGACTGAAGGTTCTGTACTTCACACGCTATGGGTACTCTCTTCCTCTCCAGGCCCATGACTCAGCATATTTCCAACGCCTCACCCATAGTTTTCTGAGGTACAGAACACAGATCCTCTCCACCAGTAACTTGACTAGAAGCTTAACGTACGAGTAGTTCTCCTGGATTCTCTACTTCGTTTTACTTGTGTCTACTGTCTCTTTTAAAGGCACTCCAGGGTAATCTTCTGGGAAATCCAGATAACAGCCATATCACACAGATACCTGGCAACGAGCTTTCTAAAGACACTGTTATGTACCACACCTGAAGAAGGTGTGGCTTCGTACTAAAGGCACCCCTCCGGATCGAACCCCCTCAACACCATCTAAACCCCCAAAGGGAAAAACAGAATCCCCAAACATTGGCCAGAAAGCCGCGTTCTGTGCGCCCCTGCAGTAGGTCGCAGAATACTCCGTGAGAGCGGCCACTATATCTCCCCTCGTGGTAATCTCAGGGTTTAACAGTGTCTGGCACTCCATCATAGAAGAGAGGGGGGCTTGCCCTGCCCAAGGTCATGCAGTCAAAGAACCACCACCTCATCCCGGACCAGAGCTGGAGAAATCATTCACATGATCTCAGTGGGAGGTTGGGGGAGGGGAGGAAGGGACGAGCCAGTGCGCCTTGTGTGCCAGACCTCCCGGACGCGGGAAAGACTGGGGGCGGAGATCAAACAAGGCGCTGGGATCCCGAGCCGCCCCGAGTTCAGGGCGGCGGGAAAACTGAAGGGGTCCGGGGCACTCGCGTGGAGGCAAGGGGCGGACGACCGGGGCAGGCAGGAGGAAGGCAGGCAGGCAGCCGCCGGGGCAGTGCACGCCGCCCGCGACGCGCGGCAAATCCCCCAGGGAGGCCGCCGCCAGAGCCCTGGCGCTCCCGGCCCGGCGCCCGCCACGTGGCACCCGGCGGCGGCGGCGGCGACTCCTCCCGGCGCGCGGCCCCGGCCAGCCGGCAGCACGCAGCCGCCCGTCTCTTCCCAGCCGGCCGCCTCCAGGACTCAGCGAGGGACCCGGGGAAGGGGCGGGCGACCGCGAAGCCGCTGGAACCGCAAGGCGGCTGAGCGGAGGCAGGAGGCTGACCCGGCCGCTTCCTAAGTGCGGTCAGGCATCTCGTGACCGCGGCGGGCGCCCGGGCCTCTTCCCCCCCCCCCCCCCCCCACAGTCGCCGGGGGGGTTTCGGCCGCGCCCAAAACCCCAAGCCGGGAGTCCGGGCGGGCTTGGGGGTGGGGAGGTGGGAGGTGGGGGGGACACGAATTCCCCGATCGCCACCCTAGGGCGTGCGCTCCCCGCCCGGAAGGGCTGACCTTGGCCCGGGGGTGGGGTGGGAGAAGGAGGCGAGCGCGGGGGGCTCAGCTTTCGGCCCGCCGCCCCCACGGATTCCTGGCTCGCTCCGGCCGGAGGAGGGGGCCCCCCCGGACACACGGACACACACACACACACACACCCCACACGCAGCGCGCGCCAATGAGCCCGGGCCAGGCGCAGGGGGCGGGGTTTTCCCAGGCTCGAGCACAGCAGCTGCTATTTACCTTCTTGGCTTCTCCCGGGGACTAGAGGCGGCCCCCGCTCCCGGCCGCCCGCCGCCGGCCCCCGCCTCCCTGCCCCCGGGGCGCGCGCGCACACACACACACACACACTCACACACGCACGCACACACACACATCCTCTGGGCCCCGGCCGCAGCCGCGGCGGCAATAAAACATCCTGGCACGTGCTCCGACTCCAGGCGCGCCCTCGCCGGCCGGCTGATGTCAAACTGCAGCTCGGCTGCTGGAGCTCTTAAAGGGCTCGCGCGCCGGGCACCGAGGCCGCCTTGGCCGCCCGCGGGGTGAGGAGGCGAGAGGTCCGACTCCCTTGCCCGCCGTCTCTCCCTACTGCCAACTGGGAGCCTGCGGGGAGAAAGGTAGAGAGTGGCGGAGGAGCGAGCGCGCCCCTCCTGTGGCATTGCTATCAAAGTCCCCCTTGTTCATTTTTTTTTCGTTTGAAATTCCATTTCCTTTCTGCCCAGTAGGAAATTATTCTGATTGTTTCCTGGAGAAGCGTGAGATCCAAGACTGCAATTCCAGGAGACGAATGAACTGGCTGGAGGGGAGACAGGCATCCGAAAGACACCTTGCTCTGAAAACCGTGCCTGGGAAAGGCATTTGGGGGGAGGATAAGGGTGTGTTTAGTATTGCTCCCCTGCATGAGCAGTTTTCACTCCCCCTAAGCAGAGTTCCAGAGGGAACTCACGAAGACCTTAGAGTAACACATCCTCTTTACCTTGTTCCCTCCTTTTTTTAATCACTAAATTTTGTCTTGGCGTGTATCTTTTCATAGTATTTTTCAAACGAACTTATTATACAAAGTAGCTATATTGCATGTAGCAAGAACAATAAAAACCAAAGACGTGGCCACAAAAGAAATAGATCAGACGAAAACCAAGGCGGAAAAAAAAACCCTCTAAAGCAAAGCCCAGAGGAAAGAGTTAGCAAAGGGTTAAAATCCTTTTGATTGACGTTGTAGCCTCCGGTGCCCCGGGCTCAGGCGCGCGCCATTGGCCGCCAGACCTTGTGCCTGGCGGCCAATGGGGGGGCGCAGTCCACGAGCGGTGCCGCGTGTCTCTTCCTCCCATTGGCTGAAAGTTACTGTGGGAAAGAAAGTTTGGGAAGTTTCACACGAGCCGTTCGCGTGCAGTCCCAGATATATATAGAGGCCGCCAGGGCCTGCGGATCACACAGGATCTGGAGCTGGTGCTGATAACAGCGGAATCCCCCGTCTACCTCTCTCCTTGGTCCTGGAATAGCGCTACCGATCACTAAGTAGCCCTAAGACATAATAAACCTTCAACTGCTCAGTAGTTATTCTTATGAAAGTCAAGTAAAAGGCACGTAAGCGAAAAAAAAAATTTTTTTTTGCGTGAAGGATTCCAAAAATAAAATTCTCTGGGGACTGAGAAGAAAGGAAAAAAAAAGAAAATGCCAGCTGATATAATGGAGAAAAATTCCTCCTCCCCGGTGGCTGCTACTCCAGCCAGTGTCAACACGACACCGGACAAACCAAAGACAGCCTCTGAGCACAGAAAGGTAAGACAGTACCTGCGTCTCTCTAATGCCCCTAGAAATTAAGTGGGTTGTGCGCTGCGGGGCTCCTTTTGCTTTTCTCTGAAAACCTCGGGGTGAAATGGCAGATCCCGTGGGAACTCAGGACTTCTTCCCCTCCCCCCTTTGCAGTCATCAAAGCCTATCATGGAGAAGAGGCGAAGGGCAAGAATAAATGAAAGTCTGAGCCAGCTGAAAACACTGATTTTGGATGCACTTAAGAAAGATGTAAGTGAGCAATGCTGTTTTTTTTTTTTAATTACGAATGTAATGACATTTCCCAGGCACAAAGAACTATACTCTTTGCCTGCTGTGTGTGTGGATCTTACCCCGCCAGCACTGCGTTCCCACTGGCGGGAGAGAGGCCGCAGGGTCCTGAGATGTGGGACATTCGGGAGGGGACCTTCAGAACTCGGAGGCAGCTGACAAGGGGGGGGGGTCTCACTTTCATCCCTTGTTTCCTTTGCGCAGAGCTCCCGGCATTCCAAGCTGGAGAAGGCAGACATTCTGGAAATGACAGTGAAGCACCTCCGGAACCTGCAGCGGGCGCAGATGACCGGTAAGGATCGCGCGTGCGTCCCCTCTCTGCGGGTGTCCCTCTCGGCTGGCGGTGATTTCTTCCAGACTTCCGCCCGCGGTTCTGAGAGGCATTCAGCTACATTTTACTGCCTTGGCTCACTCTGGGTTCCCACGGTCTGGGTCTTATTTATAGCCACAACTCCCAAGTTGTTACTGCTCCGGAAATGGAGGGAGAGGTTGTAGCCGAGAGGGGTGGTGGTGGGCAGCTTGACTCTGGTGGAAGCCGGTGAGGGCGAAAGGACGTAGGACTGAGGCAGTTTGGGGCTGGATAGAAGGTAGGGGTCAGTGGCTTACCACCGGTCCAACCCCTGCCGCAGGAGGGGAAGTGGGATTTGGAAGGCGCCTTGGGTGGCATTGCCCAAGGTCAGGTCGCGCGCGGGACTAGGGTGGCAGATCTGTAGCTAAGATCGGTTTAGATAGAGGGGAGTGTCCTGGCTTATGTCCCCAACCTAGGGAGAAGGAGCTGGCTGTTCTTAGCCGTACCCCACCCTCCCAACCCCAGGTGGTTCCGGAGGCGCGCTGCGGGGACCTCCCAGGGCGGGAGGCTGTGGCTCCCGGGCCAGGGCTGTTCGGTGACCCGTCTTTTCTCCTTCTGGCCTGCAGCCGCGCTCAGCACAGACCCGAGCGTGTTGGGGAAGTACCGCGCCGGCTTCAGCGAGTGCATGAACGAGGTGACCCGCTTCCTGTCCACGTGTGAGGGCGTTAACACCGAGGTGCGCACTCGGCTGCTGGGCCACCTGGCCAACTGCATGACCCAGATCAACGCCATGACCTACCCGGGGCAGGCGCACCCCGCCTTGCAGGCGCCGCCGCCGCCGCCCCCGTCAGGACCTGGCGGTCCCCAGCACGCGCCATTCGCGCCGCCGCCGCCGCTAGTGCCCATCCCCGGGGGCGCGGCGCCCCCTCCCGGCAGCGCACCCTGCAAGCTGGGCAGCCAGGCTGGAGAGGCTGCCAAGGTTTTTGGCGGCTTCCAAGTGGTGCCGGCTCCTGACGGCCAATTTGCCTTCCTCATCCCCAACGGGGCCTTCTCCCACAGCGGCCCAGTCATCCCTGTCTACACTAGCAACAGTGGGACCTCGGTGGGTCCTAACGCAGTGTCACCTTCCAGCGGCTCCTCGCTCACTGCGGACTCCATGTGGAGGCCGTGGCGGAACTGAGGGGCTCAGGCCACTGCTAACCATAAACTCCCTAGCCCACCTCTCTCTTCTGACGGACACTAAATACGAACTTGGATTTTAGGAAGACACTTTTATAATTCGATGGTTACTTTGTTGCTTTTTTTTAATTCTAAAAAGTTACTTTTTGTAGAGAGCTGTATTAAGTGACTGACCATGCACTGCATTTGTATATATTTTATATGTTCATATTGGATTGCGCCTTTGTATTATAAAAGTTGAGATGACATTTCGTTTTTTACACGAGATTTCTTTTTTTATGTGATGCCAAAGATGTTTGAAAATGCTCTTAAAATATCTTCCTTTGGGGAAGTTTATTTGAGAAAATATAATAAAAGAGTGAAGGCTTTTATGTCTTAGAACTGATTATTTCAAAATTTGTTAAAAAAAAAAACACGGGGGGATTGAAATTCATGTAGTTTGGGAATTCAGAAATAGGATTTTAAAAAATGTTTTAAACAGGAACCATCACCAACACTCAATGATCTAAAAAGACCTAATTTATGAGAATTCATTTGATGGGGCTTTCCTGATAAACTTAAAGACAAACAGTCCTTATGTTTTTTCCTTCCGAAGGGGCGACTCCCACCTTACTCCCTGGGGTAGCCACTAACCTTAAGTAAAAAGCAAGCTACCTAAGCCACACCGCAGCCTTCCAGTGGCAGCCTTCCAATGTCGGGGTCTTCATTAGTGTATCCTTACTTAGGCACAGCTACGCAGCCCCTAGCACCCGCATCACAAAGTTTGAAATACCTCTCTTCACCCTCTTCAAGCAAGCTAAAAAGGTCAACAGATTCTCTCTGCCAGGGGACAACTAGTTAGACTCCCAAGTGGAGCCGGGGCCAGATGATTAACAGCAGACATATGTTTCTGATAAGTTTCTGCGCTTGACTTTAATGGAGAAAGCATGTGGGGGCTGTGCTGGCAGGCACACAGGCCGTTTTCCCCCTTTTAATACAAACAGCAAGCGACCCCTTCGCTTGGTCATGCCCCATTTCCAGGCAAGATGTGGGCTCCAGATAGAAGCAAAAGGGTTGTCTCGGGTTTCAGCTCACACAACCCTCCTTAACAAGTCCTAACTCAAAGCGGACAGCTTTAAACTGTGCCAGGATCTGCAGGGAATTTCTTCCAAATCCCATCACAAAGGCTTGTCAGATTTTCTCAGATTTGGCCAGGTGTTTGACTGCATCCAGGTGTTGGGGAAATGAAAACCACGAGCCCTGCGAGACCAGACACATCAGGCGCGCTGTGGGTCTGGCCGGCGCGCCCTTCCTCCCCCACAGCCGGCCAGTCCTCCGCCCAGCCCCCGCCCCTCCCGCCCGCCTCTCAACCCCACCCCCACCCCCTTCCCCTTACTGCGGCTTCTGGGAGGAGAAGGATGAGGCGGGAGAGATCAATCTTTGAAGCTTTCCTAACAAAGATAAAGCCAACGATTTTCTGTCTTGTTTCAAAAGCCTTACCTCTCCCCCGCCTGGCTCTAGCCTTTCCCACAGGCCAGCGTGGAGTGCGGCTCTATCACAGGAATGATCTAGCAGACAGCAGCCCGTTCTTTCCAGTACCTTCAGCTTCGACCCCCGGAGAGACAGGTTTAAAAGATAGTTGGGTTTTTTTTTTTAATTGGCTCCTATTTGCCTTATTTTCTGCACAAGAAAGATGTTCAACACATTCTTTGGCGTTCTATTTTTTTCTGTCGTTTTCCTTTTTGTTTATACATAAACATGGTAACAATTACT